GAACATCTGTGTAGCAGAGATGCTTGTTCTGTGACCGTGCAATCGGCCCACTGCAGCTGTCCGAGGTGACAGTCCCTGTCACGGTCGAAGAAAAGAGAGAAAGGGAGGGGGGTGGGGGGGGGGTGGGGTGAGAGAGGGACTGAGAGAGGGAGACTAGAGAGAGATAATCCCTGTATCAAATCCAGCCCCAGAGACAGAGAGAGGAAGGTCCAGGTTTTTGCAGTTTAACGATTTCACTCGCTCGCCTGCCAATCTCTCCATCCACAGCTTTGTCTGTGTCCCCCGCCACCCTCTCCCTCACTTTATTACACTGAGGATTTTTTCATATGTTGAGCCATGTCTATAGGAATAAAAGCCTATGTTTGTTCGCCGAATATGTCAGGGCTCTTTTGAGATGTTGTTATGGCCTCACAAATCCCTCTGTGGGTTACTGTGTGTCGTCTCAAAGAGGTTTGCACAGTACAGTGGCGTAGGAACAGCTCTCATCATGCATGGCTTAACTGTGTAATAGCTTTGCAACTTCAGCAGCTCTTATTTACTATAATGGCTCCACCATTACAGTACCATCAGAGTCTCCTCTCCTGTGTGGCCTCTGTCTTTGCTAATAGGGCCCTTACTTTTTTCCATTATGTAAATACAGATGTAGGATCTTCATTTGATCTCCCTGTAAACAGGAGAACTGTCCTGCAATACAGGAAATGTAAAACTTGTAGTGTATTTGAGGTATAAAAAGGCTTCTGAAGTTTGTGTAATTTCCACTTTGAAATGTATCAACCCCTACAAAAATGTCCATTAATTATAATCCACATAATAATTAACATTTCCTGTTGCTGCAGGATTATTTTCCTGCTGTAGCAAACTGTCTCAAATTAAGATCCTACGTCTGTAAGTCTTGATGAATACATGTCTTCCCTTCCTGAGTTCTTTCCTCTTTTCAAGCAAGATTGAGGTCTGTATGGAACAAAATGTACATTACAGTATGTATGTAGGCCAAGGTCGACAGAGTCTTTTGTCCACATAATGAAAACTATTATAGATTGGTCCTTCAAGGCTGGGATATGAGCGACATATGTGTTACACGGCAAAATATTTTTAGGTTTAACAAATAGGACAGAATGATTTGACATGTATCCCGTTGATACAGTCTGTCTTCACATGGGAATTCAGCTTTTTCCATTATCTGTTCCCCTTGGCAAACGTGGTCTTAGATTTCAGCCCCACTCTTAAATGATTGAAATCTCAAGTTTCTGACAAAGTAACCTAGTTATGCTATCCATCCCTGGCAAAAGTTTTAAAACTTGCAGCAGCTTGACCCGTTGGCTGTGAGAACACTCCACCGCTCGTCTTTGAATACATTTACTGATGCAAACACTCACTCTGGGTCGAAAGAGATCTTGGTATGTTGCCCTGTCTGTAGAGTGCCAGCATCTCGCTTTTACCTCAGGTCAGAATCCAGCACTGTCTATCCATGGGGAAGGCTGCCCTAAGACCTTCTCCTCACCACAACGGCACAGGGGGAACTTATCAACGTATGTGAACACGACCTCGCTATCCACAGATCAGCCAAGCTCGGCAGAATCTAGTAATGATTTTGGGGTATAGGCTAACATTCAGTGGAAGGCTGACCATAACCACATGCTGACCTAATGACCGGTTGGAACCACAGTGAGGACCAGCCTCATAAGCAGTCCATCATAGTTTGTGGATAGGAATGAATCACATGGTCTTCATCCAATCCAAGTTGGCCTATTTAGTAATACTATTCAGTCTAACCAATAATAGCACACTATTTGGTGTTCAAGAACAGTTATGAGGCAAATACTCAGTTCACTGCTAGCATTGACAATGTTCTCATACCTAAACCATGCATTATGACACAGTTTCAGATATTTATGTAGAATATAGTAATTAACATGAATATATGCAAAAACAACAGAATTACATAATGATGTAGTATTTGCATTAGTAATTGTTGGTGCTCAGTGAAGAGAAGTGTAATTGCTGGTCATTAAACAGTAACAGCATTTAACATTCAACACCTGACTTTATGAAAACCTGCTAAATATAGATATTATTACATTAAAAAGGTAATAACGCATATTTACATCTTATTAATGCAACATAATATAGCTTTTTATACCTTTATATTATAATTTAATGAAATCAAAATACTATAGTAAATTCCCTTATTTTTCATTGCACTCACTTCAGCTAATTTTACATATAGATCAGCTGTGGGGGGGTTTTGTGGGCACATGTGTTTTGTGTGCGGAAAAACTCTTTGTGAAGTGGTCCTTCCATAGCCAATGCAACCGCTCCACTCTGCAAGGTCAAGTTGAGTCTTTTGAAAGCCTGCTCATTGGTCTGTAACTATTCAATTTGTTTCAGAGAGAGAAGAAGTCAATGGAATAGGAAGGGGCATATGGGACAACGATCAGAGTTCACAGGAAAGGAAAAAGATTTCTTGCTTCATTCAGTTTTAAACTAATGCACTTTGTACTCTTGAAAGAAAATCTAATCTACACTCCATAGGCCATATAGCGAACAACAGACCTTACTGCTACAGAGATATAAAGGGATAAAAGTCAAATTCCAGATGAATTTTAACACAGATTTCAAATAAGGGAAACCACTGAATAGACCCAGAGGAAATATGCATAATGTATGCCGTTGATTGCTGCAGGCACAAAACACGAATATCACACATAAAAGTTTATAGGAGAGCAAAATCAAACGAGTGAAAACAACAATACTATGTTCTTTAAATGAGCAATTTTAATAGAGGTATTGTATCATTAAGATCAGCACACATCCATAGATAAGAGGCAAAATAACTCATCCTCCCAAACCATATTTTAATTATACAGTACATTTCTCTGTGGTTTATTACTGTTTGGTTTGTTTTTGCTCTCCTATAAACTTTTATGTGTGATATTCGTGTTTTGTGCCTGCAGCAATCAACGGCACACATTATGCATATTTCCTCCAGGTCTATTTCTTTGACAAAAATCCATGCATTATACATGAAGTTGTATTTTAATAAAACACACAAATTAGAACTTGATGCTTGCACTTTGACACTATCTTAACTAGAAAATAAGTGTGTCTCCTCCTTTCTGTCTAAAACTAAAAATAGTAATTTCACACAATGGCTATGTGGAATATCCAGGTAACTCAAATCCCACTGCTCGAAGCCCAGCACAAAAAAAAAAAAAACTATTATTATCTGCACCCTTACTTTGATAGTTTCCCTTGAAATCAAAAGGCTTTGCAAGAATACTAACAATGCACAAAATGGCTATTTACTCCACAGACTTGTGCTTTCTCAGAGAAACCCCTCATGTGAGGTAGTGGTGTATGTGAGTGTTCAGGGAGGAGTGAAGACTTAGGAAGGGGATGAATAGTTTGCTAAATCAACACTTTCTTTGATCCCTCATGATTATCGGAACAAGGTGAAAAATTGAATTGTTGACTAGAAAGAGGCTGACAATGTGTTTGTTTGTACTATGCATGTTATGATATACTGGCACAGCTATGCAGCGTCATAGTAACATCCACTTATTATGGGAGATGTGGAATGAACAGTACATTTGATAAATCTTGTATTGAAAAATGTAATCCTGTGCAGGGCCACCATGGCAGCTCAGTGCCATATTAGAATGGTCAGTATTGTATCTGCTTTATCGATCGGCCATCTTTTAATCACTATTTCCGCACTCAAAGGCTGGCTTCCGTTTAATGAATGCAAGAATAATCGGATAATCCCTGTGAGAGATACGCAATATATATGTCAATGATCGAGGCAGAGAAAGACAGGGGATGGTGAAATAAAAGGGGCAAACGAAACATGTAACTGTCTCTGCCTTATGGCATCTGATACCTCACCTCTTCCAGTAATTACTGCACCACTTGTGTCTTGTGTTCGAAATGTGATCATTTCCTGTCAAGGATAGCAAGCAATACCAAAGGGTTTATGTATTCTGTCCCCATCTCAACCACACTTCATTAGGAAGAAAAGAGTGCAGGGCCCAGGGTAAGGCAGAAGGAATGGATTAATACTGAGTAGAAGAACCCAGGCTCCTCTCTCATCTCCTCCCTGTGTGGAACCACAGCCCGTCACGGGCCTGTCAATGCCTCTGCCCTGCTGAAATGGTGAGGGCCTGTGTGGGGGTGGCAGAGGGCCTCACCTGCTCTGAGTGGCCCTTTGGCTCCCGTCATAGAGAGGGAGAGAGAGAGAGAGAGAGGTAATTAGGATATATGGTAGAGACGGAGGTAAAGCAAGTAAATGAAAGTGGAGATGAGGGGATGGGCAGAAAAAGATAGAGAGGGAGAGAGGGATAGAGAGGGGGATAATGAAGGAGAAGGTGGAGATGAGTAGTTGGCTAGTGTGTAGGCTTCCGGTCAGCAGAGGTTGGCCTGATGCCTGATGCAATTTAAAGCACATCTCCTACAACACTGGAGAAGACAGTAGAGCACGGCGCTTGTAACGCCAAGGTAGTGGGTTCGATCCGGGACCACCCATACACAAAAATGTATGCACGCATGACTGTAAGTCGCTTTGGATAAAAGCGTCTGCTAAATGGCATATTATTATTATTATTAGATGGATACTTGTTGTACCTTTCTTAGAAGTGGATTTGAAAAGGCAGGAGCGGAATGAATGTGAACCACAGGACCTCAATAGACATATGTCTTCCTCTTTTCGCACTGATCCAAATAGACAGGATTGGTGAAAGTAATATGGCAGAAACCAACTAGATGATTTGCTTTCACCTGTCCAGTTTTTACAGATCAACGTTGATGAATAATAGCTATGTGGATAGAGGAAGTCGCTTAAGACCACTGAGATGCAACTGCCATGTTTTGGATGACTTAAATGCCTAACGTGCGAGATGCTGAAGTAGACAATGGGATGCTTGTGTATAAGTGTATAACCATTGTTAAAACAAACTAAGTGTAGTCGTGTATCTCTCTTCCCCCTCTCTGTTTGTCTCTCCCAGGATGAGTGAGAGACACACACAGCAAGGAAGTAAAGGGGTTCTACTTCTGATGGTCTGCATGGTGACTCTGCTGGAGATGGCCAGACCAACAGAAGGTCACAGAGGTAAGGGCAGTACAGTACACCTGCCTAAGAGCAGCATGCTCATTGCCTTTCTTTACATTCATTTTGGTACTGAGTGTACAAAACATTATGAACACCTGCTTTTTCCATGACATAGACTGGCCAGGTGAATCCAGCTATGATCCCTTATTTATGTCACTTGTTAAATCCCTTCAATCAGTGTAGATGAAGGGGAGAAGACAGGTTAAAGAAGGATTTTTAAGCCTTGAGACAATTGAGACATGGATTGTGTATGTGTGCCATTCAGAGGGTGAATGGGCAAGACAGAATATGTGTCTTTGAACGGGGAATGGTAGCAGGTGCCAGGCGCACCGATGGAACGCTTTCGACACCTTGTAGAGTCCATGCCCCAACGAATTTAGGCTGTTCTGAGGGCAAAAGGTTGGGTGCAACTCAATAAGGAAGGTGTTCCTAATGTTTTGGACATTCATCCTGCTAGTTTAAATGATGTCTGATCTCTGAGCTCTCATATTATTTACATTTACATTTTACATTTAAGTCATTTAGCAGACGCTCTTATCCAGAGCGACTTACTAATTGTTTTTTATAGCCTATAGTATGTCTAGATGTTTTATGTTCGATGTCATAGATGATTAAATGCACCTGATGTTCCAACGGTAAAGGATTGTGTGACAGCTTAAATGTGTGAAAGAGGTGTAATTCAAAATACTTCCCTTGTCTTGTTAAGACTGTTGACAAGCTGGGACATCACTAGAACATGACTAGAACCCGACGAGATCAATTATAGCATCTCAGTAACATTACAAGTGTGGGGCAACTCACATGTTTCAACCTCATTGGTTTGAACACTGGGAGCTTCACTGACAATCCACTGTCGTAGATAATTGGCAAGGTGATTCCATAGACATGCAGGATGGCCATTCGTGGACATGACAGAAAATGTTTAGCTTTCTTCTGTCTGTCGACCAATTAAAGTAGGGCATGGGCCTCCAGCATGTGGCTTTTGATTGGCAGCGATCCTTACTCAAGGCGCTCATCATTTCTGCAGGAATTGGATCCGAATAATCTCGCACATGTTCAATTTCTATCTGATAGCTTCAGCGGTCCCCCTAATTTCCCTCGGGTGTTATTTCTGTTGCTGTAAACCTGTTATCATTCCAGGGATGAAATCAACCCAGAACACGTTCAAAGTCGAGAAAATAAATTATTCCCAGAGAACACAAGAAAAAAAGAAATTATACCATAAAAAAAAAAAACCACCCTAAGTAAACATTGTTGGTTTCGGCAAGCAAAGAAATTGATTTTCTAATGCACTTTGTGTCCTATTTGAGTGCTCGCAATACTTTTTTATATTTGTGGCTTCTGTCAGCAAAAAGCTGCATAGATTTGTATATCTTCAAAACTCTTTTCGCTTTGACGTGTCGGCTTTCATTTGCTGAGATGTGCTGGAAGAGTGATCTGCCTCGCTTTCCGAGTTGCTTTCTCTAGTTCACCTTGTATTTGCCATTGTATTGAGTTGTTTACATGGCCAAGGTGCAATACTGGAGAGGCACAACAAGAGCACTTGACCCTATGGGCACTCCTACCGGATACACATCCTTGGAATAAGATGTCCAAGGACCTTTACAATCATTATCATTACAATGATCCACTGTCCTTGTAAACTCAGTGGATGAATGTTCCTGATAATCAATCTTTTTCCTAGTATTCCAAGTATTGATCCAATGGGAAAACACTGGACACATACAATAAGCACTGAGACTTAACATATTGCTTTAGTTTGTCCGATGGTTTGTCCAATTACTGTCATAGACCATTAGCGCATTGCAATAAAATGTACAATGAAGCATGGTCTCACTCCAAAGGTTTACGACGTATTCAGCCTACTTAGAAACATTGTGAGAATGTCCTTATCCCCCCATTATACGGGAGCGAGTATCCTATTATGTCTGTAAGTGCATTTTATCTTCTTTGTCGATTTCCAGTGTTTGTTGGGAAATCAGTTGGCTGGTAACAGTGCAAATGGATTGCCAAAAAATAAACATTGTTCTTTTCCTCAAGAGCACAGTTCCCAACCATTTGGGAGTCCTATCTTTTTCATTTTTTTCTGAAACAGCACAATCAATACTTCTTGGTTGGGAATAGATCCGCAATTGCATTGCCCTCGGAAAATACATTTTATTTCACTTCTTAATCTGATTTGTAGTGTGCCTTGAGGATTTCACTACATAGACTGTCCGCTTCAGCGGAGCCCTGCAATATCAAGAGTTTGAGTAAAAGGTATCTTATGAAAGAGAGAGGATGTGTTCACAACCAATTTACATGATCAAAATGATATGAAACTTGATGACAAAACAGTTTTCTATCTATGGACCAAGCTTTACGGACGTCAGGTGCAGAACAGCATACGAACCATGAAAAGCTATTGTGCCGCTGGCTGTCTTCACTTGCATACAATTGCTAGAATTACATATTCAGAATTGATTGAAGGTTTAAAAAAATCTAGACATTCTGTACTGTACATCTGTGACCGGCTCGGCCAAAAGCCTCTCAAACAGAGAGAAATAATGGTTATATAAAAAAGAAAAAGTGAATATAATCATGAACTGTAGTGTTGGTACCACTTTCCTAACAGGGACCCAGAGAATCAATTTGTAGTCAGTGCATAGCAATTACATGGGTCACCAGTTCTTCATCACCTTGGAATATTCTTTTCACCAATGTATAAAGCCACTCACTCCTTTCCCTTGCACCGGCCCAGCAGGGAAAGGCGCTTCTCTGGGACTCTGGGACAAGACTCATTCCCAAGTACATAAAAAGCCTCTGTTTCATAGCAGGACAGCACAGTGGTCATACGGCTAGAGCTCCAAATCTACTCAAAAAACCTCTTCCTCTCTGTGTGAAGCGTGGCGCTACCTTTACATAGATCTAAGCAACGCCGGCAGAAACATATTTGTCTTTCATATCTTTTTTTATACGAGTAGAGTGTGAGTCAGCCTCCCGCTACATTCAAGTGATTCCTCCTCAGTTATTTTGATGTATGAGCAGGGACCGGGGGGACGGCGATAGCAGAAGCGCTATCAAAACTTGTGTATTATCAAAAAAGAGCTCCGCCTCCCTCCTTTTCACTTCCTGTGTGTCTTTTGATCTATAGCCCTATACCTAACACCTCTCTATAACATGGTACGACTACTCATCTGCTTGAACTCCTAACAGTTAGTGTGAGGAATCTCATCTGAGCAATGGTACTCAACCACTGCATTCAGTTTGATTTGAAACATTTGGGTACAAATGATAGATCGAAGCTATTGTAAACGTTCAAATGTTATTGATTGAGGTGGGATTCTTCCACATTGTGTCCCAGTGATGGTGGCGTTCAGGATGTTAGTTTAGGTGTTGATGCAGCTGCAATACAGTCGACTCAATACCCTACCTCCTCCTACGACATTTCTGCCTAAGTGATAAAAAAAAACATGCCTGAAGATTCCACAATAACAAGGCATGCAAATGCAATTTAATTAAATAAGCTTGGCTGGCTTCACTGGTATAGAGTACAGCAATCAGTGGGCAGGTTCCACAGCACTTTTCATTTGTTGTTTACCAAATGAGCAATAACTGCCTCTGCAGAAGGACGGACTCCTCGTGAAAATGTCACATGTAATTAAAAGAGCAGGGAGCAGCACAGTCCCTAAATAATTCAAACAATGTAGCGTGAGCTGTAAATTGGCTCAAAATACTGCAACAACTGCACCTTCTTTTCTGGGGAACTTGTAAGAAACTCCTGAGATAGGGATTTTTCAATTGTTTTTTGAATGGCAAAATAGCCTACTAATTCCTCGGCTGATGCTTGAAGTTACAAACTGTTTTAAAGCTTAATCATAGTTATTCTGTACCTTCAGGGTTGTGGGTACCGCAGAAGTATTAGGTAGCCTCCCTTAACAGGAGCATGCCTCCAGTGTTCTGAATATGTGAACAGGCTGTTAGTGAACCTAATACAAAGTTAACTCAACAATGGCCATATAGTAGGCCTACATCATTGCCTGTTAAAAATGAACACTTGATTCTAACTTTTTTTGCAGTCCCACAGCATAAGTAATACATTAGTTTTTGCGTTACGCCTCTTTTTTGTGCTGCACTATGATAATAAACTGAGCTATTAGGCTACTTAGAAGTAGTTTTGCATTATTTGAGTTCTGACAAGTTTGTACTGAGTTATCAAGTGGCTAATTCTGTTCGGTGTTTTTTACAGTGCATCAAGTCAGAACCGGCACTTGTGAGGTTGTGGCTTTGCATCGATGCTGCAACAAGAACAAAATAGAAGAACGCTCCCAAACTGTTAAATGCTCCTGCTTCCCTGGACAAGTGGCCGGGACGACCAGAGCTGCCCCGTCCTGTGTAGATGGTACGTTCCAGCTGAATATTTATATTGTGAGCTCGCACCGTCTTCCTTAGTGAAACTGCTCTAAAGAATTGTTATTAATTTTGTAACGCTTCAGACCACAAGGTGCTTAGTTATAGCCATCCACAGAGGCCTCATTTATACTTTGTTTTACGTGTTTAAGTGTTAAACTGTAATTAAATGTGTTAAAAAGTGTTTACCAGAAGTGCTCCTGTGCCATATAGTCGTATCCTCAGGGGAAATTAGTTTGGTCTCCTGTTTTTCAACCAACAATTCCTTACATTTAGTGGAGTCTGGTGCTTTATGACAACTCAGTACTGTCTCTGCCTTTTACAGTAATGGTCTTGCTGAATTGTACTCCTCCTCTAACTCCCTATAGTGCTGTAAAACCAAGTGAGCCAATTAGAAGGCTGAACATGCACATGCCAACTACACTGCCTTCAGAAAGTATTCACACCCCTTGACTTTTTCCACATTTTGTTGTGTTACAGCCTGAATTTAAAATTGATTAAATTGAGATATTTTTTGGCACTGGCCTACACACAATACCCCATAATGTCAAAGTGGAATTACGTTTTTCATAATTTTTACAAATTAATAACACATTAAAAGCTGAAATGTCTTGAGTCAATAAGTATTCAACCCCTTTGTTATGGCAAGCCTAAATAAGTTCAGGAGTAAAAATGTGCTTAACAAGTCACATAATAAGTTGCAAGGACTGTGTGCAATAATAGTGTTTAACATGAACTTTGAATGACTACCTCATCTCTGTACCCCACACATACAATTATCTGTAAGGTCCCTCAGTCGAGCAGTGAATTTCAAACACAGATTTAACCACAAAGACCAGGGAGGTTTTCCAATGCCTCACAAAGAAGGGCACCTATTGGTAGATGGGTAAAAATAAAAAGTTATTAAGTTATTAATTTCACTTTGGATGGCGTATCAATACACCCAGTCACTACAAAGATACATGCGTCCTTCCTAACTCAGTTGCCAGAGAGGAAGGAAACCACTCAGGGATTTCACCATGAGGCCAATGTTGACTTTAAAACAGTTAGAGTTTAATGGCTGTGATAGGAGAAAACTGAGGATGGATCAACAACATTGTAGTTACTCCACAATACTAACCTAATTGACAGAGTGAAAAGGAATCCTGTACAGAATAAAAATATTCCAAAACATGCATCCTGTTTGCAATAAGACACTAAAGTAAAACTGCTAAAAATGTGGCAAAGAAATTAACTTTATGACCTGAATACAAAGCGTTATGTTTGGGGCAAATCCAACACAACACATCACTGAGTACCACTCTTCAAGCATGGTGGTGGCTGCATCATGTTATGGGGGAGAACGGGCTTGTGGTAAGGACTGGAGCGTAATCAGTGGAATGGTATCAAATACATCAAACACATGGTTTCCAGGTGTTTGGTGCCATTCCATCTGCTCCGTTCCAGCCATTATTATGAGCTGTTCTCCCCTCAGCAGCCTCCACTGGTGTGAATACTTTCTGAAGGCATGAACGTAGATGTTGTGAATCTCAGCACCGTTTCAATGAGTACGCAGAAATGTGTTGTCTTTTCCCATCAGAACCCAATTTTACACCTTCAATGCAACATCGGGCCCAAGCCGGATTCACCTCACGTTGATACCGTACAACTTAATCCTCAAATTACTGACAGATCAGGTGTATAAGTGACTGCTCCTTGTTTTGGAGCAAATCTCATTTGCGGCAAGCAGGGAAGGTGTTACCATGAAATAAGTGTGAAATATAAATTTGATTCATATGTGGTGAGCGAAGTATGCCAAGAGTACTGTCTTCCTTAAATCTCTTCTATTCTCTAAACAGTTTTCTGGATTCATAAGAGGTTTTCAATGTACATGATAAGAATTTCAATACTGACCATCATTATATAGGCCTAATGCTGTATCAATGATGATATCAATGTACTTGGTATGTACAAGTACTATATATACTATAGTGCAATGTACTATATATATCTTTATACATGGTAAATGTGCTTCTTCTGAATCATAAAGCTGACTGCTGCATCATGTTTCCTTTCATTGCATTATATCATACAACCACTCTGACTTCCACATTCAAGGTTTAGCTACACTTCAACAGGCCTCACTGCAAAGTCAACTCAGCTTTACATATCCACAAAACCGCTTTAAAATTCCACAAGGCTGAAGTTATGACCGCAGAACCGTGAATTCACAATCCTCCCAGTTTTGCTTAGCTCACATTATATTTGCTGCATTCCTTGTGCACCTAGTATCATATTCAGAAGCTCTCAGATTAATTTGCAAGGCTCCAAACCTGTTCCCTTGTATTGCACAGTGAATGTAGGTGATTAACAGTGCTGTGTATCAGAATGTTAAGACTGATGTATCATCATCCCATAAAGTTTTCTATCCATGTACAGTATTATTTTATTTAGGTCTACAGGAGGTGAGAAGGGAATACGTTTCTGCTTTGAAATCAGTAGAAAGTGCACAGCAATCACTATGCTTTCTAAGGGAAGGGGACGATTTGAAACCCTGACATTTTCGAAAAACACACTTGAAGTTGACTTACATCTATGCCATGTCAGTCCCAGAACATCACTTACCCACACTAATGTGGTAGTCAGACCACCAACCAGGCAGAAGGAGCTGCCTCAATTTGGGCTTGAAAAGCAGTTCACACCTAAAGTCTGGCACCAGATGCGTTTGACCTATTCGATGACATTTGAGTATTGACATTCTCAGCAAATTAAAGCGCTGTGCCAATGGCGCACAGTTTAAAGTGCTCCACGGGTGATCTCTGAAAAATGATCAGCACTTAACCTTTTAATTATTCTTTTGTATTCGTCCAGGGGTTACCTGAGCTCTCATCTCAGTTTGAGCCTGATCGCCTCCTCAAAACCTTGTTAAGTGTTTGAAATGTAGCCTGTTCCAACAGTTTGGTTGGACATCAAACATGCAACCCTCAATATTATACAGCCAACGTTGTACAATTACTTTCACTTCTAAAGGTGCTTTACACAATATTGCTGTTATAATCATGCCTGTGGAACACAAATAAGTTTATCTTAATATATCCACCCTCGGTGCATGATGGTTCTCATTAAATACAATACAACTACCTCATGGTGTTTTGTAGTGATGGGGGGGAAAAATCGATACAGTTACATATCGCAATATTATTTTTGGCCAAAATTATATCAATATTTGACTCCAAGTATCGATTAGTAAAAAAAAAAATGTAGGTAGGGTAAGCATTAGCTAGATGTAGTCGGCTGTACCTGCGCCAAAAGTCTGGTATTTTTCATCCTATAGCTTGTTCTCCATCTTCTTTTTAAATAGTGAGCCAACATGTTTTCAGCACTTTTATTTCCCTGACTTATCAAAACTCATTTTCTCATGGCTCTCTCTTGTCTCTCTGCAGCAGACATATAGTGAGCAATACCGTATGTCTGGAACATCAAATCTCAATAAAATCGCAGTATTGATTCGCAATACATATAGAATCGTAAGAATCGCAATACATATCGTATCGGCACCTAAGTATCGTGATAATATTGTATCGTGAGGTCCCTGGCAATTCCCAGCCCTAGTGTTTTGTAAAACAAGGAAAATGTCTGTCTCCCTAGTAACTCTCAAAGCTGCTCATTATAACGATGCCTCTGTTCTCCTCTAGCCTCTATAGTGGAGCAGAAGTGGTGGTGTCAGATGCATCCATGTCTGGATGGGGAGGAGTGTAAAGTCCTCCCAGATCTAAAGGGATGGAGCTGCGCCACGGGGAACAAGATAAAGACTACCAAGGTAAGGTACCTCCCGAGTGGCGCAGTGGTCTAAGGCACTGCATCGCAGTGCTAGCTGTGCAACTAGAGATCCTGGTTCGAATCCAGGCTCTGTTGTAGCCGGCCGCAACTGGGAGACCCATGGGGCGGCGCATAATTGGCCCAGGGTAGGGGAGGGAATGGCCGGCAGGGATGTAACTCAGTTGTTAGAGCATGGCGTTTGCAACGCCAGGGTTGTGGGTTCGATTCCCACTAACTGTAAGTCGCTCTGGATAAGAGCGTCTGCTAAATGACTAAAATGTAATGTAAAATGTAAGGGTCATCTTAATCAACACATTACACTTTAGACAAGCCATCAAATTCAATTTCAGCTGTACAGAGTACCAACATGGTAGGGGTCATAGTAGTCCTCAAGTCCTCATAGTAGTCAACTTCAGTTTAAGAAGACAGACCTATATGTTTCTCAACCTATTGACCTTGCCTACTTGTATTATTGGTCAAGGTCAAAATGTTTCATCTGAAATTACAGCACTCTAAAACCGTCTAATGTTTGTAGTCACTACTGGGACCCTGGGGACCTATATCTGAGGGGCCGACATGTCTCCTTAGCACTATCAGAGCCATTTTGAGGACCGAAACTTGCAAATTACTCACTCCAATTACTTGCTTTTAACGCGGTAACCCGATGCCCGTATCCTTCCGTGGGTTATGACGACCCCTAGACTTGAGTTCTGCCTCCTTCCATGTACTTAATTATTTAAACTGGCCACACCACACCTGTCTGGAGCCTGTAATTATTGATCCCGGGATTAGTCGGGACCTCAAAATGGAATGGGGCCTTTTTGGTGGGCGTTGTTGCTGCAGCAGTATTGATGGATTGATCAACCATAATAACCTCACGCACGTGTTAATTTCGCCTGGTATGAAATCTAAAACTAATCTCTTCCCTTCCTCTTTTCCCCCTGTTTTTGTTAACACGGAACGCCGGAAAGATCTCATCGGACCGGGATCAGCTCTGGTAACCCTTGTTGCCACGGAACCGAATCAAGGTGATGCAATCTTGTTAGATTAATTTGATTGAATTGGACCAATATCAATGTTAATGTTCATTGTTTTTCTGAATTCAGACTATAGCCTTTAATGCAAATATTGAATATTACAGTTTAAACATTATCTGTATCAGACTGTGTCAAGTGCTGGTGAGAAACAGCAAACAAAACATTTCCATTAGTTTGAACATTTACTTAATGAGGAAATAAGATTTATACCAGGCTCCTTAATTGTACTTATTAGGACACAAGTAATGACTATACATGCATAATTTATGGTTTAAATTGATAAATTCAACAAAACAGCTGGAGAGAGTGTTCTAATTGCTTTACCTCCCATCCAAGATATTTCGACATC